AACGAGGGTAGATTTGGTTAAGAAATAAATCATAAAATATATAATACAACTACTAATGAATTTTTCCTACCGATAGAATAGGGAATATGGTAACAAATATTTAAATAGTAATTGAAAGATGGTGGTTGGGATAAATATCACAGTAAAGCCGTGGCAGAAGAACCAGACGTAACTAAACTCGGATGAAATTGTTATCACTGGCAGGAAGAATGTTGAGGCGTAAACGTAAATGTGAATGATGCAACAAATGGTGAGGAACAAACAGTTCTCCCTAAAGAATATAGACAGATAGTATTAGAGTGTGGCCGTGATGAAATGTTGGCTGGACATTTAAGTTTAGCTCGGATGAAATTAATAATGATAATCTTATGGGTCGGGTTTCCTGAAGAATTCTTATCAGATATTGCTAGCAATTTTTATTTTTTGCATATCGAGAAGTCACCTGAGCCACAACAAGATTTTCTTCCTTTGAGTTACTATATGGTAGTGATGTTAAGAGTCCATTACACTTATTCAAAATAAGTTATTTCAGAGACAAAGCCGAGTAATGAAATGTGTTAGCATATGCGACCAACTTAAGGGGTAAAAGTTAATGCCTAAAGAGTAAGAATAAACAAAGGTTTTGCTATGCTAAGAATGTTAGAGAACTGGAACTTAAGGTGAATCAGTTAGTTACGGTACTGGACTCAGCACCCATACATAGATTACCTGCAAGGTGGATAGGTGATTTCCCTATAATTAAGCGTGTAAGTGAAGTGACATATGAGGTAGATGTAGGGAATTGAAATGTAGTGGGACAAATGTCACGTGCAAATGTGCTTAAATCATGGTACACTAGCGTCGCATCTGAAAACTGTGTGGTCTGTTTAGAAGCTAGTAGTATCAAGAGTGAACAGAAAACTATTTTAGATCCTTATGGGCAGACAGAGCTTGTTATTTTTTGAGGATTTATAGCCTGATCAACAGAAGGAAGTGCAAGAGATTGTGAGAGAGTATTTGATGATAGACCAAGGGCAGACCTGATTAGTTAAGCACGTGATAAAAGTAACCTCTAATGATGCAATAAAAGAACCCCAAATGAGAGTATTATACTGTTTGAGAGAAACTCTAAAAGGTGGGATAAATAAATTGTTAAAAGGAGAAAAAATTAGGGAATTTTCTAGCCCTTATCAATTGGCTCTAGTGTTAGTATCGAAAACTGATGAGGTTAGGCTATGTATAGACTTAAGGAGGTTGAAGAAGCTACTGTTGCCAATCTCTACCCTCTACTTCACATGAGGGATATTATAAATGAAATTAGTCCAGCACAGTACATTAGTAAAATTAATTCATTGAAAGGTTATTTCCAAGTTGAGTTAGAGGGAAAAAAAAGATAAATAGAATATAGCATTTTGTGCCCCTATGAATTATTTCAATTTAATGTAATGCTTATCGGGGCAAAAGAATGCAGATGTTTTTAAAATTTTTCAGAAGTATTTCCTGGACAAAGCTGAAAGAACATAATAATCCTATAATTTCAATGAGATTTCGTTTATCTGTTCTCTGTCCACTGCGGGTATCGAAACATGATTGTTAGAGTTATAAGCCCTCGGGCTTATTGCTGAACTACCAGGAAGTAAAAAAATTATGATCGTTTTATTGTATCAAAAACAAAACGTTACAATCTACAGTATTTAGGACTTAAGATGTAAGTAACATTGTAGAAACTTATCTACCGACATGTTTAGCAAATACCTGATGGACGAGATAGCCGTGCAAATGAAATACCGTAAACACGACGGTCACTACATAAATAAGTGGGGACGTAAGCTGGACAATAGAGGGGTTAAGGACTGATAACTCCACATTCATTTATTTGTTTGTTTTAGAGCAAAACCATATTGAACCATCTGCTGTGTCCACATGGAGGAATTAAACCCCGGATAATAGTGTTGTAAGTTCGTAAACTTACCGCCGTCTCACCGGGAGACCATTCAATTAAAAAAATTATTAGTATCTATCAAATTATCTATTTGTTTAAATTTTTTTTTAATTCTGCAAATGGTGACAATACATTGTTCTGGTTTTTACCTTAGAGCTTTATGTCAACGTCTTATAAGAGATAAATGAGGCTACAGTACAGTTGAAAATATTTGTCATATTCTTTTTTCTTTCTTTTTAGACGTAGAGCATTTGCAGTTCTCCATGTTCTAAACTTGAGAATATTCCCTGAAGTTTTTTTTGTAATTTGTAATACAATTAAAATGCAAATTAAGCAGTCTGTTTCTTTACTTCTTTTACTGATATATTATTTGTTTCATTTCTCTCTCTATTTGCACGCTCGATCCATGGGATGGACACATATTCCTATAAATTATATAATGATCTTGGCGAAAATCGTTAATAAAAATATTTTATCCAAATTGGTGTCAGATTACTGAATATTAGTTTAAAGTATGACGTATATATATATATATATATATACTGTATGTTTATGAAAGAGATTTCACCATTGACAAGATTCTAGAAGAGAGAACAGAGGGATTATATTAACGTATTTTTGGCTCCTGTGAAAGTCAAGTGCGGAAGAACTGTCACGCTTTTAAACTGAAAAACAGCTGCCCAGAATAAATTAATCACAACCCGACCTCTTAGTCGAGCATGTAGCATCACAAACCCATGTATGACCCATGTGGAAACGATGCCAAGAATTTTGCTATCGAGTACTTAGAAAAAATAGCGTTTTAGGGGATACGCTAATCCACAAAAGGAGTAGCAGAGAGAAGAAGATAGGTTGAGAGACAATTGCATAACGAAAGCTAAATCCTGTGAGCACTAGGTGGCGCAGTGTTGTTATTAGTGTATTATTTTATTATTAATAACAGTCATAATTTACTGATAGAACAATATATAATTGTCATAATTAAATCGTATTATTAAGCGACTGTAATTTTTAGACTAAGGTTAATCCAAATATACTAGTACTTTTTATTAAAATAATACCTTTCAAAACGTTCTGAACACGAATGTAATAATTTGATAATAAGGTATAGTTAAGAAGCAGAGGATTCAAATTTTAAGGCAGACAGATCGAGTAGACAATGAGCTAGCCATCCATAATTTAAATTGATAAACTAAAGAAAGGGCAGTTAAGGAATCCTTGGACAACTCTAACCGAATACTGGATTTGACTCTCAATCTTATAATGCACCCACGGCCCCAAAATGTGTAGTTAGAATTTGGGGTAACCGGACACAAACCATGGACCCTCGGACCCACAATCCGGAACGCTAACCACTAGACAAAGCCCAGTTCTCAGATAGACAGATTAAAGGGAAGGTAAAAAACGCTGTAACACGTCAAAATGAGATTAGCCATAACTAAATATAAAGTGTAACACGTCAAAATGAGATTAGCCATAACTAAATATAATATCAATACAAGCCTGAAAGCTGCTAGCAACATGGAGTGAATGAAACGTTATAAGATTTTCTTAAGTTAGTGACTATCATTCGGCGATACTCTGTTTAATTTCTTTCAGTATGTGTTAACAGTTCTCCACAAGATAATTAGAAATATACCTATAAACCAAGCGCTATCTATAAAAATATATGCATGTATGTTTACACACATATACAATTTCAAACCAGTACTCTGGTTTTGTAATAGTTTTTCCCCGTGATACTACATGTGGTACCGGTCTGTGGTAAAGCTCTGGATTTCGTAGCTGGCTAGCCAAGTTCAAATCCGTGGGATACCACAAAATAATCCTCGCACTTTAAGCTGTGGGTGTGTTATAAGAGTGATAGTTAATTCTTTAGTGTGTTATTATTGTTGGTGGGTGACAGAATGCTAGTGACTAGCTGCCCTTGTAAGCAGTTCAAAATTACGGACTGCGGGAGATGACCCCAATAGCAATAAAATACACATTCAAGTTAACAACACCGTTGAGAAAGTACTGAAACCGCGGATACTTAAATATGTAATACGTGACTCAAAATCTGGCTTTAAAGGTTAAATATATCATTCATTGACTTCTGACTAAAGCAAGCAACCTACATAGATCAGATCTAAATATGAATTCAGTAATAAGTGTTGCTAATTGTATATATCGTTCATACTTTGATGATTAAAATAGATTGATTCCTAAGCTGGATACCCTCGCATTAACAGCATTTCCATACCATGTAAAACATCTCTTACTCGGTAAATTGAAATATTTCAATTAACTTTAAATACTTCAATTAACTTTAAATACTTCAATTAACTTTAAATACTTCAATTAACTTTAAATACTTCAATTAACTTTAAATACTTCAATTAACTTTAAATGCTTCAATTAAATAGAGATCAATAGAGAAGTTGTATATATAGCTTGAATGTAAACGATCTTATAATGCGATGTTACACAGTGCACGAGCTAAGTAGATCTGAAAAATTAAAGGCAAAATTAGTTGTTAATATTATACTACATAATTCTCATGAGAATAGCGTATAAAGGTTTACTAATCTTTCCAAAAGATGATAAAAATATGAAGCACAAAAATCATTAGAATGAAAATAAGTTTTATAAAACAGTTAGACGTTGCTTGAGTACCATTACAAACGTTGCCCCACTGAAATGTCTTGTGAAGTGTTGCAATTCTTGTCCCCCTCTCCCCCAAAAAAAAGTGTATAATACAGCGAAGATACTTGAATACAATTTTAGTAAATTGGTTTCTCGGAGTTGATTACTCAGGCTCGAATCTTTGCGATATCACAAAATATTCCCAGTACTTTTAGCTGTGGGTACGTTAGAATGAATGACAATCAATTCCTTAGAGTGGGTGGTAGGGTGCTGTTGAATAGCTGCCCTACTTCTGGTTAGGAGCTAAAAATTAGGGACGGAGGCAAATAGCCTTGGAAGCTTTGTCATAAATACAAAATATATGTTATTTGTTGATTTTTAAATTTAATTTCTGTTTGTTGTGAAGCATAGGAGTGAAATAATCATGAATGATATTTATACTCTGTTTCCTTAGTTACGGTTGTCCTATTCCCAACATTACCCAAGAAGATGACATTGCCGAATACGACGGTCATGTCAACTGGTAAGCACAATTATCTATATATATTATATGTTTATAAAATCCTTGTGTCACCAAAGCTATTTCTTGCTTAAGTAATTTGGAGATTCGAAACTGTAAATTAACTCACTATGAATACAAATAATATTCTGAACGTCTTCTCATACCAAAATGAATATGTTATAGTTTTTCCACTGCGATCAACGTACCCTAGCCTTTAATTTTCATTTTTACTTCACATTGTTATTGTTGAATCTTGATTTTATCTAGATTATACAATTAATTAACCAGAAATACATTGATAATGAGTATAACGAAAATTATTTTGCTTGAAAGAAAAATTTTCTTTGAAGTCTTCGAAGATATTAAAGTTGCCAATCATAGGGTTAATTTATTTTCGTTAAGAATTTAATTATTGGCCGATAGGGGTATTTTTTATTTTCGTGAAGAATTTAATTATTTTATCCAGATATCTAGACACGATATCTACACAGCGGTATGTCTGCGGACTTACAACGCTAGAATCCGGGTTTCGATACCCGTGGTGGGCAGAGCACAGATAGCCCATTGTGTAGCTTTGTGTTCATTTGTAAACAAACAAACAAAGCTATCTCATATATCACGAAATAGTTATTACGTACAATTTGAAAGTTCAAAGTTCTTAATTTGATCATATTTCCTCGTAAATTCTTACATTAATTTTTCATCTGTTCGTGTTAGGTTCTCCTCGTGTTTTGTAGTATCATAAATTTTATTGACGAACGAATAATATTGTTCTTATTCTTGAATCTTCTTCTTTATCTCAGTCATACATCACATGACTAGTAAACAAGAACACATGACCAACCGTTCATAATAATTTACTGCCTATCCAGATATTTATTCTTGATTTTCTTCTTTATCTCAGTCATACACCACATGACTAGTAAACAAGAACACATGACTACATAACCGTTCACATAATCATAATAATTTACTGCCTATCCAGATATTTATTCTTGATTTTCTTCTTTATCTCAGTCATACATCACATGACTAGTAAACAAGAACACATGACTACATAAACGTTCATTTATAATCATAATAATTTACTGCCTATCCAGATATTTATTATTGATTTTCCTCAAAATTCTTTATTTCATCCCTCCTTCTTTAATATCATCGTATTAAAAATTAATCCCCCATTTTACACATTCATACCAACGTCTTGCATTCCGCTTTGTCACTTCCTTTCAACCACTTCTTCATCTTCCTTTCATTCTTTCAATTATCCATGTCCGCTATAATCCAATAATTTATGCATTCAATTTACCATCAACCTGACAGTTTACCAGTCAACCTATCTTTTTATCAAGCGTCAGGTTATTGATATAAAGCACTACTGTACAATGTTTTAAACCTTTCATCAAGCGTCAGATTACTCATATAAAGTATTATTATGTTGTACTTTAAACCAATGAGTGAGCATGACATGTCATGTAATCAAGATTTGATGGTTGTAGTACATACTTGTGACCACTTAATAATAATCTTAGCCTTCACGAAGAGTTTCCACCTATTTACTTCTGGACTGAAAATATTTTTAAACGACACAACTTCGTCTCATATTTCAAAATAAAATAGAATCACAAACCAAACCATGTAAGCAACGTATGAAATATTCAAATTATTTGAAATATTATACGTAATCTCGTATAACTAGTGCTTGTGCAAAGACATGTTTTTTTATTTGTAAAATAAAATACTAAAAAGTTTATAAATTTTCTTTTAGGGAAGCAGTGCTATGGGTGGACCGAGCGTTACCCTTATGGTGTGCTCAAGTAAGTGTTACACACTTAATAGGAATTACCCTTTATCGGAAAATATGATTAAAGACATAATTATTGCACTTCTTTAACAGATATATCTTTTTATTATTATTTTTAATAAACGTATGATTGGTTTGAAATGCATCTTTCATTAACTTCGTTCTATCAGTATTATACAAGTATTTAAGAAATGCTAAGATCGGTTAATACAAACACTTCGGAGGACACGTAATATTATATAAACAACATTACAATATGATAAAGTAATGAATGTCATAGATATCTGAGACCTCTATAAGTCCATCTGTAATGCTTCTGATATAATTTTTTTATTTGTTTTGTTTTTTGAATTTCGTGCAAAGCTACACGAGGACTATCTGCGCTAGCCGTCCCTAATTTAGTAGTGTAAGACTAGAGGGAAGGCAGCTAGTCATCACCACCCACCGCCAACTCTTGGGCTACTCTTTTACCAACGAATAGTGGGTTTGACCGCCACACTATAACGCCCCCACAGCTGATAGGGCAAGCATGTTTGTTGGAGTGATGGAGATTCGAACCCGCGACCAGCAGATTGCGAGTCGAGCGCCTTAACCACCTGGCCATGCCGGCCGAAATATTTTTTTTAAAAGAATTTTCTTGAGTTTAAACTTCACATATTTCCAGTTCAAATTATGATTATTAACAAGTATGAAAACATGTCTTTTTTTTTAGTAATTTAAGATCTACTTAGATTCACAGTAAAGAAAATAAAACGTATGCAATTATTATAAGTAATAAAACCACTGTTAATGTAGTTGGTGTTTCCAAGCAACTGATCCTTGTTCTTATATCGAAGATTTGAATGTCTTTGTTATTTTCAAAGAATTGTTTGCGAAGTTTGGATATACTATTAGAAACCCGTGGAATCGGGTTGTATGCTTATGTTGGAGTAAACAGAAAAATGTATAAATTTCAAAGTATAAGACTATAATGAAGGTAAAATTACGTATTTTGTCTAATATAATGGAAACGACAATCATAAACTGGTTTTATGCATAATGGAAACGACAATCATAAACTGGTTTTATGCATAATGGAAACGACAATCATAAACTGGTTTTATGCATAATGGAAACGACAATGATAAACTGGTTTTATGCAGGATACTGACTTAACGAATACAAAGTACGACTCCAACAACTCTGTTTGTTTATTGTCATGTTTGACTTTATTTATTCCCGATAACTAGGAAAGCAAGTTAATATTAATTGAAATTTATTTTGGTTACCAGGTGGTGTTGTCGGCGATAAGTTTATCAGAGGCCTTACTTCTAGCTTATCTTGGCTACAAGGTAAAGTAATAAAATTAAACAAATAATTTTTGAATAGAATTGTTTATTTCCATTTCTCCTTTGCAAATGATAAACTGTATTACTTAGAATGAAAAAATACGAATGGGTTTTAACTTGAATCACTGATTGTAGTTTTAGTTATATTTTCAGAAGTTGAAATTCAATAAGTACTAAAGAACAAGGTTTTTTAAAAAAGTAATGGTTGAAAGATGAGAAGTATATATGTAACATAATACACATATATATATATATATATGCATGTATTTTGTTTGCATGTGCTCTACTGAGCGATCCTCCTACAACATTGAAACACAATCTACAAATATTATCTAATATCACGAAATAAAATCCAAATTAAAGACAATTGCGCGTCTGTTCATTTTATCTTTGATTTTTTTCAGGGAAACATATGGCAGCAACTATTGTCCTTCAACTTAATTCTGGAGTTAATCAGCAACGTTCCAATCATTCTTACGGTACGGTAAGAATGGATAAATTACAACGATATTTCCTATATATATACGCATCAAACAGTATTCTTTTTAAATTGCTATAATGTTTTTATTTTAATTTTTCCATTGATGATATGAAATGTATGTATCCTATTTTTTATGCAACCATATCTAGCATATTGGGCTGACTAGCACCTTTATTAGGATTCCCACTGTTATAACTTGAACACAAAGTAGCATATCTCTACAGGATGCTAAATGTCGGCAGAGGACTAAGAAATTAAGATTCAGATATTTCAGCAGAGAATTAAGCCTATCGTAACAAGTATTGCCGTTGAAATTTATCTAAATGGCTCAATTGGAGTGAGATCTTATGTTTTTCCTAACCAAGGAAAATGGCTAAAGGCATTAACCTGATCTTAAAACCAAGTTTGGAGATATGAACATGGCGGATTATTACCCTACTGTTCTGAAAAAAGCCTTTGTTCTTCATGGAAAATTCAACACCCTGGAAGAATAAAAGAACTTGAGATTTACCACAAGAACTTTCTCCACACTATTACACCACCTCTTGCATCTTACACTAATAGGATAGAACATCCGCCATAATGAGCCTCAAGTAATTTTAAATATATTCTTACCCATTATCAGAGTAGAACAGAGTGAATCATATCTACATCAAACTACATTGCTAACTTCCAGCCATTCATTACATAGTCTTTGTTCACTTCTCAAACTGATTGATTTCCCATTCGATAGCTGATATTCATAAACTTTGATAATAACTCATTCAGAGGAATGTTTTGATACATAATTTACCGGTAAATGAGCATCCACTACCAAATAATGGCTGGAGACGGCTTGAATGGGTAATGAAGAAAAACTTTAATGTAAGTTTAACATAACAGCAAATGTACAACGTTTCGACAAGGTTTTGTCATCATCCACTACCAAAGTTGTGATAAAGTAGGATATATTCTTGCTTGTATCTATATCCTTACACACTAGTTATGTTATAAGTAGGATTATATCAATCACCTACTATAGCACGTACCGTATTTTTCGGTGTATAAGACGCACCCTTATTTTGAAGACATAGTTTTGGGGAAAAAAAGCTACAGTAGCAATTGAAAGATTTATATTGAACGAAAATTCAATTTGATACTTTAAAAATTAGTATATATTGTT